TTCTTGTACTGGTTTTCCTTTCAGTTCCCTCTCCCACTGAATGTCTGGCAGGAAGTTCCTCATGCCTGAGTAGTTCCCCCTTTTGTAGATTGGTTTTTCCCAACCTATTTCTGCTACTCTCTCCACTTGGAGCTCAACTATGTAGTCGAAGCACAGAACCACATGATCACTAGCTCCCAGGGGCCTTTCGTACATGATATCCTCGATGTCCGAACTACTCAAGATGAATACGAGGTCCAGTCTTGCTGGTTCATCCTCTCCTCTCTCTCTGGTAGTGTCTCTAACATGTTGATGCATGAGGTTTTCCAGTACCACATCCATCATCTTGGCTCTCCATGTTTCGGGACCCCCATGGGGCTCCAGGTTTTCCCAGTCAATCTCCTTGTGATTGAAATCACCCATAACTAGTAACTTTGCTCTCCCCATGTGTGCTCTCTTGGCCACCTCGGCTAGTGTGTCAACCATTGCTCTGTTGCTCTCATCGTATTCTTCTCTTGGCCTCCTGCATTTTTGTGGTAGGTTGTACATTACTGCAATTATCACCTTATGTCCCTCAGACTGGATTGTTCCTACTAAGTAGTCCCTTTCGCCCGTGTGTGTGTGTATGTGTGTGTGTGTGTGTGTGTGTATTATAAGATAAACTCGCAAGGGTCAGACACACCTCCTGGGATAGAGGATGCAATGAAGACTTATACAAGGAAAGTGCGGGTAAGCCCAACGTCTTGAATCAAAAGTTCAGACCGGTCGAGAAGTGTGTTTGATATAATAATAATAATAATAATAATAATAATAATAATAATAATAATAATAATAATAATAATAATAATAATAAATAATAATAATAATAATAATAATAATAAAATTATTAATAACAATAATTTATAAGCTAGGAGCAGTTATCCGACGTCAGTTCGACCCAAATCTTGGCCCAGGTAATTTATCAGACGACGTAATTTATATGGGAGTATTTTATTTAATGCTAGAACTCAGTCTTAGCGTATTGAGAAACTATTACGCCACCGTGAGCAGCAGCGGCAATTTCCCAGGCAATTATGCAAATTAAGATTCACGTTTTAGACTCGCGTATAGAATTCGACGAATTAATACTGAATTAGTTGGAGGTGAATCAGTAGGGAAGTAAGTGGGGAAGACATTGAAAGAGAGAGAGAAAGAGAGAGAGAGAGAGAGAGAGAGAGAGAAAGAGAGAGAGAGAGAGAGAGAGAGAGAGAGAGAGAGAGAGAGAGAGAGAGAGAGAGAGAGAGAGAGAGAGAGAGAGAGAGAGAGAGAGAGAGCTGGCAGTATGTGGTTTGGCTTTCGTTGTGGAGAGGCTGCTACTGCTAAGTATAAGGCATGGCGAAGGTATAAGAGACATTCTACCACCTATAACAGGAACTTGCACAGGCAAGCCTGTAGGAATATGGGTGACGTTCAAAAGTGGGCCATTGCTAAATGGGAGGTGGACACTAAAAGAAAGCTAGCATCAGGTAGGGTAGGCTCCAAAACCTGGTGGTCCCTGGTCAAGGACAGACAAGGTTATCTGCCTGATGAACTCATTCCACCTATAAATCAACAGCATGGGACCACCTCTACTAGCAGTCAAGAGAAAGCGGACCTCTTTGCCGAACACTTTGCTACCAAAATGCAAGTTCCTGATCTTTGGCTAGCTGCAAGAACTGTGTCAAAACTGTCAGTGCTGACAGTAAGGCAGGAGTAGGTGCACTTCTTTCTTAAATCTGTTGACCAAGATAAGGCTGAGGGCCCAAACAAGTTGAGCCCAAGATTGCTGAGACTATGTGCAGACCAGCTAGCAACACCTCTAACTCGCATCTTTCGGCACTGCCTAGTACAGTGTAAATGGCCTTCTCTGTGGAAAGAGGCAAATGTAGTCCCTGTTCACAAAAGGAAAAGCAGAGCAGAAATCAGCAACTATAGACCGGTGTCACTCCTGTCAATCACTGGCAAGATCATTGAGACAATAATCTCAAGATAAATGACAGAGTTTTTTGACTACCACTCACTACTTTGTGACGGTCAATATGGCTTCAGGAAAGGTTACTCTGCTGCTGACCTGTTGTTAAACCTCTCCACTAAATGGCACCAGTCACTGGATGAATCCAAAGTCAGCTGTGTGGTAGCACTGGACATTGGTGGTACTTTCGGCCGAGTGTGGCACCAGAGCCTCTTGGCAAAACTGCAAGCACTGGGAATTGCAGGCTCTACGCTATGTCTCCTCAGTGATTACCTTCATGGTAGTTCTCTAAGGGTAGTTCTCAAAAGAACAGAATCAGCAAGACATCCTACTAGGGCAAGTGTTCTACAAGGAAGTGTGCTGGGACCATTGTTATGGAATGTCTACTTCAATGATCGTCTTCATCTTATCCCAGAATCCCATGCATATGCAGACGACTGTACTCTGACGTTTACTTTTTCAAAAGAAGAAATGCCAGCTGCTCTAAGCTATATCAAACACCAGCTAAAAGCTATATCAGCTTGGGGAAAC